TTTTAGTTAATCAATTTATTCCATTTTATATGCACATCAGTTCATAGCTCTCTGTATGAAGATATATACATATATCGTATATAATTTTGAATCACTTGTGTTTTAGAACCAAGAATTAATCAAGTCTATGACAAAACTGAAACTTAGACCAATTCCAATTCGCTATGAGTAATATTTGCTCTATTTGAATTGGGAACTAAAACATGTCCATTCACATATGTAGATGTATGTATATCTCGTATTATTATTCATTTATCCATATTGCTGTTTGCTTCAAATTTTTCAATAAAATTTTTGTATATTTAATTTTCTTTTCTAAGACTTTCGAATTTGCAATTGCATTTGGTTTGTTCTAGAGGAAGGAGCTCTGCTTCATTGGCTCTGCTACTGACTGCGACGCTGGCTGCGACGTCAGCGTTGACGTCGCTAGCTAAAACTACATAAATCAAAGGAAAAGCATTTTTCTTTGCCATTTGGCGGGCGTCTAGAAAGCTTTTCCCACTTTTGTTGTTGTTCTTGTTGATTGTTGATTGCTGTTTGTTGTTGTTGCTGTTGTTGCTTTGTATTAGCATTTTGTACGCATGTTTCAGACATTTTAACATTTCTTTTCATATAGACAAGAGACAGATATCGCACTTATACAAACATGTGAATATATATACACAGATATGTATATATGTACATATGTATGTGAATATATATAACTACGCCGATTTATATTGTTTTTTTTTTTTTTTTTTTTTTTCTTTTGCGGCGGGCCGTGAGGCCAAAACATTTATAGGAATATTTCAAATCGCAGACACAACGCTGACGCCGACGTCGCTGCTGCTGCGAGCAGCGCATTAAATGAGGCTGACAACAAAAACAAGAACAAACAATAACTGAAAATTTCTCACATTCAAAAACAACGAAAAACGTTCACCAAAAATTTTATGAAATGGAAATACGGCATACAAACAGAAAAATACTACGAAAAAGTGCGTTAATATGTTTGATCGACACTGATATACCCTATCTATACTATATAGATAAATTTAATTATTGCAATTTAATTGTGACTTGAACAGTTAGTGTGAGCACTTGAGGTTCCTCTTTATAACAATCAATCAATTGCTGTCTATGATTATTTGTATTATAGACATATGCATATGTGTAGGAGTATAATTTGATAAATATGTCTAATGTAAGAAATCGAGTATAGATCTCCGTTTTGTTTAACTATGTTTTTTGCTACAACTGTGCTAAGTCAAAAGTTGTTCTTTAACTTCATAAAGACTTGAGTTTCATGGGAACTCAGCAAAGAATATCATGATGTAGCATGCCGATAATTCTGATTTTATAATATATTATAGTTAAAGCATAAAGATATTCCTATACCATATTTCAGCTCTGTAAGTTCACTAAGTGTCGAGTTCCTTGAGGACACCTTCTTCATTTTTTGTTTCATGTACTGAATGCTTTAACGTATTGGAACAGAATTTGTTAGGGTATCTGTAGACCATGTCTGGCTGTTGCCATCTGCCTATTTTCGTGCATATTATTTCATAATTTTACTCTGCATTCCGTTCGAGTTATTTTTTCTGTTTTTTATTTCTGTTTATTTATTTATTTAGTTGTCAACTTTTTGTGGGTTTATTTTGTATTTTTATTAGTGCTTCAACTATTTTAATTTGTTTTATTTTTGCTTTAAGAGTGACAGAAATGATTGTTAACGATATCGCAAGATTTTATGGCCCAACGCCTGGCGCTACAGGCGGGAATAAATTTGTTGTTGTTGATAATGAAATTGACATGGGAATTGAAGAAATAAAAGCAAAGTAAATGCCACCAGTGGCCCTCTCTCTGTCTCTGTCTCTGACTCTGTCTTTGTCTCTTTCTTCCTCTGTGCCTGCTCGTCACTCGTCAGCCTTTGCATATTTTTCTTTCGAAATACGCGCACAAATATTTTCCATTATTTATTACTAATACTTAATATATTTGCGAACATTTTGTTTTAATTGCGCTCACACGTGCCCCATCCCCACGGCAACCGCCCCCGCGCCCACCGGCTCCGACATCCAAATATCCAACAGTTAAATAAACTACAAGACACAACAAAAAATCAGCTTTAAAATGATATATCGACGGCCATAAA